CCTGCTGCTGTTCCCTCTCCCCCCCAGCTCCAGATCATTGCAGGCTTACCAGTGCAGTGACTTGACTTGACTTCACACTGCCACGAACAGCCATCAGGCTCTGCCACAAGCTCCGCGGCCCTCCCTGAGAAAAAAACCCTTCCTGCACGTGGGCAGGAAGGTACCAAAACATCAAATTGGACGGGGGTGTTGGGACGTACCAACTGTTCCGTTCGACCGCGGCAGACCCTGCAAGGACACCTTGCCAATCCCTGGCGGGGGGGCACACGGGGGGGCAAGTGAAAACCTAGGGGGGGCAATTGCCCCCCTGTAGCGACGCCACTGCTCACATGCATACATAGAGGGCCAATTTAGAGAGGAGCCAAATAACCTTCCAGGATGTCTTTGGAGTATGGGAGGAAACCAGAGTACCCGGAGGAAACCCACACAAGCACAGGGAGAACTCCTTGCAGATAGTGACATGGCTGGGATTTGAACCAGGGACCACCAGTGCTGCAAGGCAGAAGCAATAGCCACTACACCACTACGTGGGTACAATGGACTTGTATGGCAGTGAGTATAGTATGGCTCGCATAGTTCTTTCTCAGTGTCCTGTCCCCAACATACCAAACTGAAGTAAAAGGCCACCCAAATTTCAGTTGCACCACATATACACCTGAGATGATTAGACATTAACTGTTAATGCCTTTTTTTTTTTTAAACTACCTAAAATAACTAGGACCTATGATTTTCATCTGCATGCACACCCAGCGCTCGCATTTTATTTACTTTATTGCTATTGCTACAAGGGGGTAGTAAGCCTCCTATGTAATAGCATCTTGCAGAAGATGGGTTTTCTTTAAAGTTTTAAACTCTTTAAACTATTCCTGATCAAATACATAGTTATGCCCAGAAAAGTATTTCTTTACATTTTTACCAAAGCACTTACAGACAGCATGATTCCACACAGCTCCAACTCTCTCAGTTCGACTTCCCTGAACTTCCAGTCCAATGCAAGATCATAAAGGGACAGAGCAACCCTCCATCTACTAGCATTAAGAATGGAGGAAGGAGGAGCGGCTTTACCTTGCTGTGTCTATATGTTTGTGGAGATATGAAGAGGTCACTCGCACTCCAGCTCAAGTTCAGTGAATATTATTTATATTTATTGACTTCTGTGGTGTCACAACATGGCGACGTTTCGGAAACCTGCCTGGCCCCTTCATTAGGCAAACACATCACTCTTTGTTTGCCTGATGAAGGGACCAAACAGGTTCCAAAACGTCTTACGCCCCATTCACATGTAGCGACTTATCGCACGATTTCCGCCGCGATATCGCGCATTTGTGCCGCGCGATATCGCGGGAAGTCGCCGGCTAATGATAGTCAATGGAGCTGTCTTAGCTCCATGTCGCGCGTCGCTTCTACCGGACCCTTTTTTTCGGCGGATTTTGCTTTTTTTCTATGGAGCCCGACGGAGAAGGTCGCGCTACCGTCGCTGGAACGTCGCCCCGAAATTCGCGCTATTCCGGCCGCTGCAAAGGTATGTCGCTACATGTGAACGGGGTCTAAAGCCGTCCAACCGAAGGGTGGTCAGCATAGCAAGCACCAACAGGCCCACAAAACGGATATTTAAAAAATGGTGGCTTACGCCTGAAGCTGGCGTCAGTAGAGGCCAGAACATCTACCTGGTAAAACAAACATGTGGTGGTCTTGCTTATCTGGGAAACAGATGCCTGAAGTTTAAAAAAGCACTAACAGATCTACTACAGTGAGTTTTAAAGTGACACTAAACTCCGGAGTTAAATCTTAAAGTATTAGCAAAAAAAGTCTCTTATTTGTGTATCACTGGGCTGTAGATCCTCAAATCATCTCTGAATTGGTGCTGACACTGTCCTTCCTTCTGGAGGGGGGCTACTTTTGTTCCCCATGGTCCCTGTGTGTGTTATTAAGTAGCCACCGCTCCAAGCTCACTCCCATGGTAAGACTATAATCTCACATTTAGTTTACTAATTGGTTTTGGAATTGTAGCCACTCCGGTGTTATGAAAATAATCAGGATGCCTTCCAACTAAATCCTGCACATGAGACAAGCCTCAGAGGCGGAAAGGCAAAGATCAAATTGAACAGATCCCAATAAGTCACCACGGCATCCACTGCGAACGCACAATGAACCCTGGTTCTGTCCAGTTTGTTGTTGAACCTGGATGCCAGAAGGTCCACATCCAGTGCTCCCCCCCTCCTGTGACAGATCTCTTGGAACACCTCTAGGTGGAGAACATATTCCCCCAGATTAATGTGCACAGCAGATAGGGCTGGAACTTGAAGCTTTGTTCAAGCCAGAATGAGGTCCACTCCTCTTTGAGCTGGGCAACTCTATATACCCTCTTTATGGTTGATGCAAGCCACGGCCACGTCCAGCTTACTCCTGGTCAGATGCCCTTGCAGCCTAGATGTTCAACCTTGAAGGGACAGCCAAATCACTCTTAGTTCCATGATGTTGATGCCTAGCCTCAGCGGATGCCCAAGTCCCCTGTACCAGGAGGGTACTCCGGACTTCTCCCCAGCCAAGAGTCTGATGGACCCACTATGGAGAATAAGGGCTTAAGCAGGGCTCCCAACCCCTTATCTAATGGATCCTTGAGAAAATAAACATTTTTCATAGGGACTGTGAAGGTCTCATTCAGACATGAAATAGCGAGGGCCACTACAATGACAATTTTCTTTTTTTTAAGAAGTTCTCCTCTATAGGTTATAGCAAAACAAACTTCTTAGGAGGTGCTAAAGCTTTTCGGGGTGAGCCCAGTCACCATACAATAAAAAGATGCCTTGCTGCACCCCTTACCGGATATGTTCAAATGCAAAAATGCAGGTGGGTGCTTGTAATGACCATGGATGGCGCCATGAGATAAGTTCTGATCCTGATGAAGGCGACCCTGCGTGGCCCCAAAAGCGCTTGCACCTGAGTGGCAATATCTGGCAAGAAATGAACGTTTGCTGATTGCACAAGACATTTTGGTATGCTGGTGACATTTCCAGTCACCATAAAAGACTGGTTCTAAAAGTGAATGAAGATCTTAGCAGGTCTGGGTGATTTCACAGGACCCAAGCTGGAGACCTTATGGCGAGCAGACTCAGGCTGCTCTTACACCGGCCATAAGCGCACTGCATCTACAAGGGTAGCAATGATATACTCAATAAAATAAGATTCTGTGCTGCACCAAGCTAAATTAAATCTCACCCTCTGCCTTATCAGCTGTTGTAAAAAAACAGAACATTTGGTACGGAGTTATTAAATCTACAGAGCTACGTCCCCATATTGCAGTGAGTCTCCTGTATGAAGGAGGTGCACAGAGGTGGTGTGAGATGCACAGGCATTTTTTATTTGATGGATGTTGGGGGATTACCACAGTACCTATTAGATTTATGAACTGTATAATTTGGACTATCTCAGTGTTCTGACTTTGTGGCAGTAGGGGGTTTATCGAGGGTAAATGTTTTGTATGTTTATGTTGCTTTAGAGACCCTAAATACAGGAAGTGGTCAGATCCACTAAGGCCCATCGCATGAAGTGTATTGCTTCACCTGAGCCAAGTGTAGAATGTGAGCTAGGGGAGTCCGCAACGTTTGCACTGAGAGGAAAGTTTCACCCCAAAAGCACTGAGGGAGCAGGTACCCTGTACCTGCAATACTGTGCTGTGAGATGAGCAGGATATTCCATGTGCAGCCAGCGGGACGATGCACTTAATGCCAGCACGAGTAGTAGAGTTCAGGGAGCCTGAGGCCCTACAGGCGCTGATAGCAGCCCTGTTCTCGGCGGTTCAACTCCTGCATAGAAATGGCAGCAATATTCAAAGAATCCGGCACTCATGTTCCCTATAGCTGCATAACACCATTACTAGTGTCGCAGCTGTGCTCCATGCTGTGGAAGACTGGGATCAGCACACTGGGCACCAGGGGAGAACAGACCCCCCTTCACTTACTGCAGCCACTTTAATTAGGGTAGATGGTACAGGGACCAAGACCCTACCCTGGCATCACCTATCATGACAGGCATACCGCCTTGTGAAAAGGGTGTCTTCTGCGACAGGGCTCCCCGAGACCTGTGGACCACAACCCAGGACCTGTATAGCACCCCGAAGCCAACTCAATACGATGCATCACATGTCAAGATGAGCACCCACGCAGGATCCAGTGATTCGAAGCAACATTATAGGCCGTACTGGCATCTTCTTTCAGAAGATGCGCCGAGGTGTACACTGATCTGAAAAACTGCTGAGAGCCGGTAGCCACAGTGGCTATAAAAGCAGCTAGGAAACCAGAAACTTGCTAGAAGAATCAAAAACATGTGTATACAAAGAGAATAGGGTAAGCCTCCCCTCCCCGGGAAAGAGCATGTCCATCACCTAGGGACACTAGCAAAAAAAACAGGCTTTCTGGGAAAGAAGAGGTTAGATGAGCTCCGTTCCTGCTGCTTTGTCCTTAAGTCAGTGTCTAATCCCCTGAAGATAGCATATAACCCAGGGTCTAAGACCTAAAGAGCCTGTGTCCTGTACTGTACAACCAAGAAACAATGGGGGGAATCGATCAAACCTGGAGCAGACATAATCTGGAGCAGTTGCCCAGGGAAACCAATCAGCATCCCTCTTTAGTTTGCTCTGGTAAGATTTGAAAATGAGATATAGAAGCTGATTGTTCCAGTTTTGATAAATTCCCCCCCAATATATTTTGCTATAGTGGGCCTCTATCTTACTTCCAGCCTCGGCCTTTCAACTGACTGATTTAAAAAATCCCATTCTGAGCATTTCCTTCCAGGTTTTCAGTAGCTGCCACCGGTGTGCATCTACAAACGGCTTGGGTTCAGGTCCTTCACAGACAACTCTTAGAAGCAGCATTATGCGTATTTGAGCTCATTGGAGACATTCACACCACGATAGGTAACATAACAAAAACAGTAATACAAACGAAAAAGGAAAGAAATGCAATAAAAAGGCAAAAAACAACTTCTAGATGGCTCTTTTTACTGATAGAAAAAGTCGCTAACTTACTCATAAGAACATCACAAATTTATAAATCCTCTGTATAGCAGCTGAGAGACTTTGGAGCCTAAAGAAAGTATAGTGTGTAATAAAAGGAAAACAACCAGTTTTTGCTGAAGAGAAGAAAAAAAAAGTTAAAAATTAAAATTAAAATAAATTAGACGGCATTCTAGGTGAGACAAGAACCTGCCATATATGTCAGACGTTGGACTACTTTCTCTTGCTGACCTTATTCATACTCAGAGAAGCATACTATTGCATAATAATGTCATCCGCTCCCAAAGTCCTGGATCTGAGACTCTCTGAAGGATATTTTACATATACATTTGAATATATTGGTTACTCTAGAGGTGTTTAGAAACCCAGGATGGATTCGTCCCACAATATCTCCTCCTCTGTTCTTTGGTCCTGCACTTTTTTGGGCTTTTTGTGTTTTTTGCTGCTTTCTTTATCAGTAGACGGCTTGTCTTTCTTTTCTTTTTTGTGTTTAGATTTATCAACGGGAACCGCATCTGATTTTTTTTCCTTTTCGCTGTCTTCTTTTCCCGAGTCGGTTTCCTCGACTTTCCGTTTCTTTCTCTCGCTGCTCTCGATTCCTCGCTTTGATTTGCTGTGGTGTTTCCGTTCTTTGTTTCTGTGTTCCCGTTTGTGGCGTTTCTCCCTTTTGTACGAGCCACTGCTGTCATCTGAGGAGGAGGAGGAGTCGCTAGAGTCGGGGCTGGAGGGAAGATGTTTCCTGGGTGGGGCTATTTTTATGGGCATCCTTGCTGGCCTTTGTGGCCAGTAATTCGGCTCCCAGGCAGGCATTCTAGGATTACTTTTATGAATGGGATTATAAGCTTGGTATGGCATAGGCTTATGACCAAAATAGTTGTAAGCAGCAGGGTTGGGATTTGGGTGAGGTGGTGGTGCGGGCTCTATTTCCTCAGGACTGTCCTGCTGATCTTTTTCTGGTCTAAATTGAGTTTTTGGTTCCAGACCTCGAGCCTTCTGCACTTTTATATAATCTTCTAATTCATTCTCAAAAGAATCATAGTTCTTCTTTGTTGATTTCATTAAATGGGCCACTATGTTTTCTCTAAAGAAATAAAGAAATGAAAATTTTTAATTACATCACTAACCATCATAACTTTATTTAAACAAAAAACAGTCATACAACATAATATCCTCTATGACCTAGCTTTGGGTTTCCTGGAGGTAGCATGCTATGCTTCCACTTAAACAGCAACACATCACCCATCAATATAGGAATCTGTCACCTGCTATTAGCAAGGCACAGATTCCAAGGGTGTTGTCCTGATTCTTCCTTCACTATATTAGAGCTACTGACATGGAGCAATCACTTGGAAATTAGGTTAGTCACTGACCCACTAAGTTAAAGATGACAGCTCTGAAGCTCTGCACCTTCAAAAACACAACAGTCTTGCACAATTGGCCAAATTTCAATCAGTGGGTGGCCCTGCTGGCACCATCCGGGTAGACAAACTCTATTTTATAATTGGCTTTTGGCAAAGGAGGAAGGTGGAAAATTGTCGGCCGACGATCTGTGTTTGCAACTAATCAGCTGGTGGATTGGGGAAACAAGATGCATGGCCATCTTAAACACATTCATTGCTCATTGGGGTTACTCAGTAATTTATTACAAGTCAGAGCAAAGTCCAAGCGTGCTTCCTGAGCGTGACCGGAGGGTTCTGAGGATGATCTTATTCTTACTGGTAAATGCCCCCCCAGTCTTCTCACATACTTTTGTTCCCAAAGTAAATCAACATCTCCAGATAATCATGCCGATGTTGGTTTGGAATAAAAATATTTAGGAGGGCTTGTTACAGGCCTTTTTAATTTTCTTCTTATGAGCTGTAGGCTGAGGGACCTGGATACGAGCCAGGGATTTCCTGTAGCCCTAGCTTGGCATGAAGGTGGAACAATTTCTACTCTGCTACAAGTGTCTTAGGCCAAGAAATAAAGAGTATTATCAGCAGAAGCCAAGCAGCTGCCAAGTGATTCTGTGCACCCCATTTGGTCTCTTTAAAAACACTGAAGTCTTGTTAGCTGTGCTTGACTCCTCTGCTCGACTAAAGAAAACCTTACCCCTATATTATGATGATAAGGAGAGGGTGGGTGTTCTGTAGTTAAACAGGGGAGAACTCAGGCAGGACTGACAACAACTCATTGTAGGAGACAAAAACATACAGTATAAAATTGTTCACGTTCTGCAGAGATGAACTCTATATGTTTTTATTTTGACAAGTCATACACTCCAATATAATTCTACTATATCTACAAAGCACATAACACAAGTCTAAAACATACTTCCCCATAATATAAACATAAAAGAAAAGCTAATGCAAACTTCAATAACTGAAAACAAAATACTAGTTGAGGTAGACATCAATGTGAGAAATATAATCTGAAAGTAAAAACTCATCTTGAGACCTTAAAAAAAAGCCAAATTTAAGACTGACATGCCCCCTGCTGGCCATCTCTGCCAATCTAGTAAAACAACGCGTTACTTATGGCTACATTTAATAAAGTGCCTTTTATTGTGTGTTGAACTGGCAATTGAGAACTTGCAGGGTCCAGTTGGGATACAGAGAGAGCGAGAGACAGAGCGAGACAGAGAGAGAGATGTGTGGGTGCCCATATTGGCTTAAAGTTAATAGATTCAAAATGTTCATATGCTTGAAATGTGGAAATTACTAATTTTAGGTCACTAAGACAACACGGACGCTTTCCTCCTTCTAATGAACTGACAACTGGCCTCCAGAGGAATGCCATTGAGGGCCTGTTCACATGAGTTTCAGGTCCTGATCAGGTGCGGATCTGCAGACGCGGTGCTATGTGTTTTGCCGCGTTTTTGATGCGTTCCAGTTTAAATTTTTATTTTTTTTGCTGGAGTGGGGCTGTCAGTATGTTAGCTGAAGTGCAGTGCGTTTTTGACGCGTTTTGCGTTTCCAGACCGTACAAAATGTGACATGCAGTATTTTTCTGTCGTAACCTGAACGGACTGCGCACGTGAGAACTGGAGCCCATAAAACACATGGGGATACATTGGGATGCATTTTTAGTGCAGGAGCGTACGGAGCCGGTCAGCACAGAAAACTGTGAACAGGCCCTGAGAAGATCAGCACCGGTAAAACCCACAGTACCATCCACAACCAGAACTAAACAACATCCCTGATGCAGGAAGGACTCCTGCTGCCGCTTTAGTACCTAGACGAGTCCAAATCAGCAGACCTGACCAAAAAGGCCGACTGGGATGCTGAAGGAGCCACCATGTCTGAAAATCTAGAATGTTGCCCTGGAGACAAAAATTCCCAAATGAGTGGAACCTCCATTTTCCCCCTGGAGATCAGGAGAGATCCTGTAGAAAATTAGCCCACTGGGGGGAATGTCGTGCACGGGGGCTCACAGAGACTACTCTCTTCAGTTGGTCATCTGAGTGGTCCACAATGGTCTCCTGACGGGTTAGGTAACTGGGATAAGCTAAATTCTCTATCATTGCAAACCGTTTCCAACAAAGGCCCATTCAGTGGAGAGGGACTTATGACAGCACGTAATACGTGTTTGGAATTCTAGCTACTGCGGGGTAAAGACCACTGTTTAAAAAAATATTTTATCTGAAGCATTTCCTATTAGCTGTGCGTAATGACTTACTTGATTTGATGCTTGTTTCCTTGCATGTGGGACTGGTACATCTCTATGGAGGTGAGGGTTATGCTGCAGATTGGACACACGTATACTCCATCTCCTGCTCGGGGGAAAACAAAAACAAAAAGTATAAATATTTTCCTTGCACCTGGAGAGCAACCGACATGCTGTATAGACATGCAGTATTTTTCTGTCGTAACCTGAACGGACTGCGCACGTGAGAACTGGAGCCCATAAAACACATGGGGATACATTGGGATGCATTTTTAGTGCAGGAGCGTACGGAGCCGGTCAGCACAGAAAACTGTGAACAGGCCCTGAGAAGATCAGCACCGGTAAAACCCACAGTACCATCCACAACCAGAACTAAACAACATCCCTGATGCAGGAAGGACTCCTGCTGCCGCTTTAGTACCTAGACGAGTCCAAATCAGCAGACCTGACCAAAAAGGCCGACTGGGATGCTGAAGGAGCCACCATGTCTGAAAATCTAGAATGTTGCCCTGGAGACAAAAATTCCCAAATGAGTGGAACCTCCATTTTCCCCCTGGAGATCAGGAGAGATCCTGTAGAAAATTAGCCCACTGGGGGGAATGTCGTGCACGGGGGCTCACAGAGACTACTCTCTTCAGTTGGTCATCTGAGTGGTCCACAATGGTCTCCTGACGGGTTAGGTAACTGGGATAAGCTAAATTCTCTATCATTGCAAACCGTTTCCAACAAAGGCCCATTCAGTGGAGAGGGACTTATGACAGCACGTAATACGTGTTTGGAATTCTAGCTACTGCGGGGTAAAGACCACTGTTTAAAAAAATATTTTATCTGAAGCATTTCCTATTAGCTGTGCGTAATGACTTACTTGATTTGATGCTTGTTTCCTTGCATGTGGGACTGGTACATCTCTATGGAGGTGAGGGTTATGCTGCAGATTGGACACACGTATACTCCATCTCCTGCTCGGGGGAAAACAAAAACAAAAAGTATAAATATTTTCCTTGCACCTGGAGAGCAACCGACATGCTGTATATTTCTGGTAATCATGTGGAAACGCACACATGTCCATGGGTGGCCACACTCACTACTCCATTGCATTCATGGAGGGAATCATGGCTGCCACCCAAGCTGGACATGTGCCTTTGTTCATCTGAAGTGAAGTAGGACAAATAGTGTTTTATGGAAGATTGAGAACATTGTTTTTTTCTTTCAGATCAGCTCATAATGACAAGGATGCTGCTTTTCTGGTAGGATCAAGCCTTACTTCCTCTACTTGCTAAAAATGTTCTTAGGGTTAGTTCACACCAGAAACTTCATCACAACTGCGTGCGTCTGAGCAGTTGCATTGCGATCCGTTTTGATGCGTTTCTTTCCCCTGCATGTCCCTGGATGATGCCACAATCAATTCTGTTTTTTTGTATGCGTTCCGTTGTGTTTCAGTGCGTTTCGTGCAGTTAGATGCAGGTAAAAAGGGACAAGCAGTACTTTTTCTGACTGCATCCGAACGGACTGCAATGGTGTGAATTAGGCACAATAAATCCCATACCTACCGAGTATTTGGGCAAGTACTCTTACACGCCCAAATGCTCCCATACCTTCCCCGATACCGGAACTTCCGAGCAGAGGGAGATTTTCTCTGACCGGCAGTGCCGCGAGGGAACATGAAGCTGGCTTCATGGCCAATCAAGAAGTCGGGCGGCGGGTTATGACACGCCACCCAGCTTCCTGATTGACTGGGAAGCCAGTTCAATGTAGATTGGCTGGGAAGCCAGCTTGCCGGCCAATCAGCATCGATCCGGCCAAACAGCATGGAGCCGGCTTCCTGGCCACTCAACATCGAGCAGGCTTCCCGGGCAATCAAGGAGTCGGGCGGCCGGTTATGACACGCCACCCAGCTTCCCGTTTGCCTATGAAGCCGTCTCCATGCTAGTGGAAGTACCGGTATCGGTACTCGGCGAGTACTGAAATATAAATATCGGTACTCGCACTCAATCCCGGAAAACTGGTATCGGTGCATCCCTAACACCTACATTTATAAGGCAAAAAATGAGCTATTTGCACCACTTTAGCTTTTGGACTGACATACACTTTAAGTAAGGATATCAGCCGTAGAGAGGAGTCTGCTTTCATATGATCTTCTGCCAGGCATACCTTTTTATACTATTAGGAGTTGAAGCTGCCATTTACCAACTTTACCTGGAAAACGCATATAAATCATTTTTCGATACATGTACAACATTTGCTATACTGTATTATTTCTTTTCAAATTGGCACACATCTTAGGAGTAGCCTTCCCCATCCAGGGTTCCTCCGCAGGTTGCTAGGGGTCCCTTGAGCAGATTCTGTCTCTCGGATAAGTTACCATTAACACCAATAATCTTTTATGCTATCTGTAAGGGGGGCATTTTTCTTATAATCCAACATTGTAACAGACAATCCTCCCGATGATCACCAATGTAAGGCGCATTCTTCCCACTAACCCCAGAGTAACGTGGTCCTCTCTTATTGAGCACCAAAGTAAGGGGGCACCACTAATTTTCATGGCCTGCTTTTTTTCTTGTCTTCATAACCTTTTATTTCATTTCATTATTACTGAAAATAATTCTGATGTATAGGCCAGTCCTGTCAAATACACTAAGTATGCTACATGCCTAATTATTTTATTCTCGTATCCATAAGTTACGGTTTACAATAATGAGCTGTATATTTTATTATTGGCAGGTTTTCCCAAGGTCTGAAAATTATTTTAATGGTTGCTCTGTGTTGAAATTGGGAAAAGTCGTCTTAGTCTTTGGCCATAGTATTTGAGCAACGCTACTTCCGATCACTAGAGAGGAAAAACGCAGAAAGCAAGGCCATGACGTTATGGCAGATTTCTCTGACCTAATCACGAACGGCTTTCTATCTGCAATGGACATCACTGCAACTGCCTTTCTAAATCTGCATACAGGTAACAACGGTATAAAACAATGGCATTTTCACTAATGTTTTTGTTACAGATAAACAAATCGATTGGCACATCTCCTTGGATGTATGCATTGACAAACGGCTGATCTGAGATGCTGGAAGCGAACTTCAGATCCCATTTGGATGGTCCAGCGTTAAATTTGCAGACCCAACCTTTGCATTAAATGACTTATTTTCAATATTAAAGTGGAGTCTCAAAAAAAAGGAAAATTGCTAGGAGGGAAGGTTTTTTTGGTTAAAAAGAGACCTTGTAAGTCTGTTCTACCAAAAAAACTCCTGCCCTTTGCTTGGTGATTTTATTTATCTACACTGTCCTAGGTGTTTGTGCATTGTACACCCCTGGAATCTGTAAGATGATATAACTGCAGCTGGGTGATGAGATGATGTAACTTCATTGCACAAGCGCAGGAGTTATATCATCAGAGATCGCCATATAGCCAAAAAGGGAGGATGGTAAACCAGGAAGAAGTGGGCAGAGAAGACAAGAGAGGAACAGCACAGAACTGTCACAGAGGTGAGTGCGCCATCATGTGCAAGTATGTCGTGGCAAAAACTCCCTCTGCAGATGGCGGTTTAGTGTCGCTGTGCAGAGGTCTGTGCACTGTTTTATGGTGTTTATGTACAACTTTGAAGGTTGTTTCCTACTTTGCTCAACCTTACCCCCCGTGTCCACACTCATCCCCGTATCTTCCATCTCCTCCATCATCTTCCGCCGTAGCTCGTTACGAGCATGTTTCTTGCCATTGTAGTGTTGCTGGGCCACCAACGGGTTGTTGAAAGAGGCACAGCAGAGCTTGCAGTACTTGTTCGGGTCACTGAGATCGATCTCATTATCAGCAGAGGACGTCTCGGTGCTGGCTTCTTGTTGGTTGGATTTCTCTGACAGAGAGGACATGACAGCGTCCTGCTCACTAACAGGTGGTACAGCTGGAAGAGTGCAGAAACAGGCGGCAAAATAAACAGCTGAAAAAACAACTGGCACTCCACGCTGCGTCACTTACACATATGGGAAACTAGGCCAGAGAAGTGGGAACCAACAACAAATGATTTCATTACTAACAGGTTGCAAGAATTTCCAAAACTTTTTTCCATTGACCAAAACCATCAATTAAACAACCCCTCTTCTCCAGCACCTTATACCTTTTAGGCCCCTTTCACACGGCCGGGCTGATCGGTTCCGCCTGTCAGTTTTTTAGGTGGACCGATCTGATGCCCAATGTAGGTCTATGGGCGTCTGTTTACACCCGGTTACCCCCAACTCCGGGCAGGTCCGGAAAAACAAATGGATCTGAGATCCGTTTCGACGGACTGGATTGTGCTGATTGGGGGTAATCTGGTGTAAACGGACATGTCTGTATACATCCGATTTCTCAGACAGACATGGGGTCCGGTAATTGCAGTTTTTGCCTCCATCACAAGATGGGGGGAAAAAACTGTACGGATGTGAAAGCGGGGACATCCGATCCGTACTGCTCTGATCAAAAGAGGATCTGTGCAAGGATCCTGTCAAGATCAGCCCGTGTGAAAGGGGCCTTAGTGTACTTTTCGTCTCTCCATAATAAATTGAAAACAATTGTAGTGACAATGGTAGACTTTGGAATAGTAGGAAAAGAAACTAACAAATGGCACCAATACAATCTCAGAGAAAATCAGTAAGGTGGTTACACTCCTAAATCGCCATCAAGATTTGAAATAGGGGTTTACTAACAATTTAATCTTATCCCAAAGAGAACCTGTCACTTTGTCTATTTAGGTTCTCTTCTAAGAGCAAACACCCGACCATCTATTTACCTTTGTCCTGCTATCTCATGATAGACAGTGTTCATGGCAGGTTTCTCTGCTTTAATCACTTGTTTCTACAAATTCAAATCTAGTTATAATTGTGTATAGCACGTATTAGAGTTCAGTGGTTTAGATCCTTTTGCTCCCCCTGTTTTTCTTGGTTGTTTTCATTACAAAATAGTTTTTTCCCCCCACTAGATAGCATTACTATTATTTACCATTGCAGAGACCCCGAGAAAAGCTTGTGGCTGCATTGTATGTAATGAGGCTAAGGAATACACCCCAACCAGAGAATATAAGATACTGTATCTATGGGTCAGTAATATTATGGGCAGCACAATGACTTAGCACTTTTGACCTGCAGCACTGGGGGTTCCCGGTTCGAATCCCAGTCAGGATACTATCTACATGGAGTGTGCATGTTCTCCCTGTGCTTGAATGGCATTCCTGTGGGTACTTCAGTTTCCAACCACACTCCAAAGACATGCTCATTTGTTCCTGTGTAAATGTGTGCGCATTGCATGTAGATAGGGCCCTTGGATTGCAAGCTCATTAAAAGAGAACTATGGCCAAACCTTTTTCTTTATAGGGTCACAGAGGGACATTTGTTAATGTCCTACTGTGAACCAAAACTCAGCATATAGCGAGCTATTAGTGGGCTGGTATTAATAAAAATTAAAAAAAAAAAAAATATGGTCAAAGACCTCTTTAGCACACATCCTCACCTGCTTCACTGGTCATTGAGGAATCGGCTTCCGGTGTCCACTCACTCGTTTCTCCAGACAACTGCTTCAGCTTTTTGGCGTGAATCTTTCCCACATAATGTGACTGGGCGACAACTGGAGAACTGAACACCATGTTGCACAGGCTACAGAACTTGTTTTTATCCTGGGCCAACTGCTGATCCACCTGAAATTAGACATTAATGTTAGACACCTGCAATAAAAGGTTCCTCAAAGGAGAACACCAGCCAAACAGAAAACAAAATGATCAAGCGGTTCTGAAGATCACTGCCAGCCTGCAGTTTTGTTTGTAGAGACAGTTGTTGGTTCTCTATCAGTGCACCTCCACATTCATGGTTGTTTAAAGTACTTAGGCTAAACAAAGACTTACCTGCAGGTGTTAAGTGTTCATTTTGTCCAGGGGACTCAAATAAAGCATTTTTACTTACCTGTCCCCTGCAGCCTCTTCTCCCCTTTGCTCTGGCGGCCTGAAGAGCACTGACGTCATCACTTCTTATGCTGGTCCACTGACCTGCTTTAGATGTGAGGACGCCGAAGGACATTCCATAGCCGAAGAAGACGAGGAAAAAGGTGAGCACTGACTGCTGCAGGAGCCGGGATCACGTAAGTAAAACCGCTCTGAGTCCCCAAGACACAATGAGCACTTAACCTTTGCAGTGTGGAGGTAGCTGGAGCTCTTTAAAATATTTTTTGGCCTTCTCTGTTCTGCTTCCTAACAAATTTACAAAAAAAAGATGAAGAAGACAGAAGTGAACAATCTAGGACAACATAGCTGAACTGGAAAAATTCTCCAATTCAGCTCACTTTGCAGTTCAGCTATGTTGTCCTGGATCGTTCACTTCTCCAAACTCGTCACCCATTTGTGAATATCCTTTTTATTGGAACACTTCTAGAGAATGCTGGAATTAATTAGCATGTAAATGTAAGTGCTGCTACTACAGGGGATCCCATATTGCCTTTGAAAAGCTCATTATAACCAATCAAAACTTGGAAGATTAGAAAGCTTGTCACAGGACCACATAAAGGAGGGTGGGGAACCTCCGGCCCTTCAGCTGTGGTGAAACTACAAATCCCATGAGGCATCTGTCTCGGGGTGTCAAGCAAATGTAGTTTCACCACAGCTGGAGGGCCGGAGGTTCCCCACCCCGACAAAGTAACGTAAACCTGCAGCCTCCACCTCTGCCACAGCCCTAAAGATGCCATACAAATACCAACTTTTTTTAAAGTTGGTATATCCACAAAAGCTAGATGCTGCTGCTCTCTGCATTGGGCTACTAAATCTAATCCATTGAGACATTGTGGAGAAAGAGAAAATCTTACATGGAAATTCATACGTTCTGTTTTCTGATCCACTTTCTTTTTATAGGCCATTTCTTCCAGTTCTTTATTTAGGAAATAAAGGCGAACTTTCTGGGCATGTCTCTTACCCTGCAAAAATAATAAGTAAAATCAGAAAGAATTAGTCCAACAAGAACAATCTGCATCTAAATTGACTTCATACCACATTCCCACTGATATTCCAGAAAGCATTGGGCCCATGATTCTGCTCCTGGAATAGAGAACGGGGAGCTCCAAGGCAACTCAATGTCTGGGGGGGTTCACAGCAGTGGCTGATTCTCCTTTAGCAGGCCTGGCCATGGGACACAGGATAGGGTTTGTGAATATTAGAACTCTTCCTGATCTGACAGAAAACATCTTTATTGGCCACATGATCTCTAACGCTCTTAGGAACGTTTAGGTACATTGTAGGTAGCTGGAGGCCACCCAACCCGTCTGCATCATGATGTGCTCAGATCATCACTTTATTTGGCCAAGCTCTTTAGCAGTACAATGTACCTCACCAGGAACATGTCAAATATAGATAGTGTGAACTGCCCCCAGCAAAACAGGCGAGCACACAAAAACACTACAGTACTGCCACTGAATGAAGAAATGGACACATCCAATTTGCCTATATAATGGACTGTAGGAGAAAATATGAACACACTAGATGTGAACTCCATGCAGATGTTGTCCCTACTGGAACCCAGGACCCAGTGATGCATTGCGGGAGTGTTAACAAATTAGTCACCACACTTATACCATTACAATCATCTAAAGGTATGCGTACGCAATGCCTCCCACTTGCCCGCACTTGCCCTTGTAAACCAGAGTAGTATGTGTACCCTGCAGGGGATTCTAATAGGCTCTGGGGGTATGTTGTGACCTTTTATATAAATGTATAATCCTGACATAGTGCAGAAATCATTGATTATGGTCTCCCAGATCACTGGCACAGAGTCCAACATGTGCCCATATTGGTGACAAGCACCACTCATTTCTTAAACTGGATGGTATTGTTTATCTTTCCTGAAGGAACAAAGTTTACTGATGGAGGGAATGGAGGATGGGAGGTTGGTGTCATGTGTAAACCACACTCCCAACATCCACAATACCATTCTCCCATCTGCTGAGGGGAGCTGTATTTTAAGAACCATCATCTTTAAGGACTCATGCCCCAGGTGGTTAAAATTAGGGATGCACCGATATATCGTCCGCCGAAACATATCCGCCGAAAATGGCACTTTTGGCATAATGCCGAAAGTGCCATTTTTCGGCCGATACATCGGCACATCCCTGCTTTCTCCACCCCCACACTGGGCGCTGCTCTGTGTCCCAGCGGGGAAGAGAGAAAGTGTCACAGGCGGCCCAGCGCTGTGAGCGGCCGATGTCTCTCCTCCAACAACGCTCGGCCGCCTATCACAGTCCGGCAGAGCGGTGTGGGGGGCGGAGACAGGCCGCGCTGTCGCAGGAGGCTGAGCTCTCCTCCCTGCTCCGCTCGCTCAGCCTCCGCCTGACAATTTTTTTTATTTCGGTTTTAAAATTTCCATTTCGGTGCACCTCTAGTTAAAATGCTTCCAAAGCATTAGGCTAAACCTAAAAATGGTTACTATTGCGTTAGGCAACCATGACAGAAAACCACATAGCTCCTGACACGCTCCTTACTGTTTATCAGAAGACAATAGGCTTATATCAAACCCGCAGACATCCGCCCTGCCATTAAAGGGGGTCACCAACTTAAAGTACAACTTTAACTAATCAAATCTTAACCCTTGCAGTGGGGCTACCCCTGCACTGAAAGGTTAAGTGTTAATTTTGTCTAGAGAGCTAAAATAACAAAGATATGCTCACCTGAACCGCAATCCCGGCTGGCTCTTAAACCCCTCCTCCCTCCAGCCGGTCTCCTCCTCACTGTGTATAGAATGTGATGACTCGCAGGACCTTAGACCGCTGCAGCGGAGCGAGCAAGCCAGCTCAGAGGATTGGGTGAGTATAACTATTATTTTAGCTTCCTAGACAGAATGAGCAGTTAACCCTTGCAGTGCAGGGGTAGCCCCACTGCAAGGGTTTGATTTAAAAAAAATGACAGGTAAAAAGCACAGAAAAGTCAATTATTAAAAATGCTTTCTTGCAGCATTTCCCTTTCCATAAACCATTTTTATTGACTTGTCTCTAAACTTGGTAGTAAACCTGACTACTTAAAGAGTCAAATTGCTAGCCCCCTTCACCCTTGGATGCAATAGCCCTTCTCCTCTTCTGGGAGTATAAATACTATCTGTGCTGGCACAGCTTCTCTGCCCATGCCTTCACCTTCCTACATAATATTTTATGTGGCTGCCGGGGGAATACTATATTGAGTGCCACTTAATTGACAGCTCTGAGTCTGCTGGTGCTGCTGACATTATATCCAAGATGGTGGTGCAGCAGTCCCAGGGTTTTTGAATGTCTATAAAAGGGAGGGGATTGGCAGGTCAATAACATTCATAAATAAAGTTAAATGCATATATAATCCTATGGGAAGATTTTTGTTGTAATGCATAGTCTGGCGACAGGGTCCCTAAACGCCTAAACTTAACCATAGCACCACAGCCTCCCAAAAGGATGCAGGCAAATACTGACAATACCCAATATTATCAGCCCGTGGACCCTGTTCAGCACGATCCCTATGTGTGCTCAGGCCTGGCGACTGGTTGAGCTGGTGTCAAGTAGTGATGGGCTCGGGCATGTTCGCAGCTCTACGTGCCGAGCCCGCCAGGAAGCTGACAGCGCCAATCACAGGCACTGAGACATTTCCCGATCTCTACAGCTGCGGACCGGGAAAATGTCTCAGTGCCTGTGATTGGCGCTGCCAGCTTCCTGGCGGGCTCGGCACGTAGAGCTGCGAACA